GCCGAGTGACCACGCAGGGCCGCCCCCTCGGCGTGCTTACCGTCGGGGAAGGGGCTTGGACCAAGACACCGGTGACTCTGACACAAATGAGTAAGGAAAGAATTAGGGGGATCTACAGGGAAGTTTCATGAAGAAGGTGGAGCTTTTATTGTTTTCACATTCTACATAAAGTCCCCATCGTGCTGTATACTATATATATATATATATATGCTGGTTGTCCAATGAGCCAATATTTTCAACAGAGAACTTTACATTTTTCCGTCTGTCAAATCTTTCCTCCCCCTAGCACCTCACACCCACCCTCCACCACCCACTCTCCCCACCTACGGCCTCTAGCACCCACAGCCCTCCTCCCCACTATCACGTGGAGCTCCACTTCTGCCGCAGAGTGCAGACACTGGTACAGACGGAGAGGGGATATGCAATGTGTGTGTCTCTCTCTTTTTTTCAATAGAGAGGTTTTTTTGCTATAGGGTGTGTGTACTCACTGGAGAGACAGAAAGTGAGAAATCACCCCCTCTCCCGGGGGGATGGCCATGCCACAATCCCTTCTCCATTCTCCTCTTGGGATCTTGGGCATGCGCACATGCCCCTGACATGAGTTGTAAGCCACTGGTTCAACTGCAGGGGAGTCCGGCGATGTAACCATTATGCCATCTGCTGGTTCCATGGTGTGCCTCTTTCAATGTCTGCCTCACTTGGCTCACATTGGGTCTTCTCTCTTCGTCCACTTTAAGTGAAACCATAGGAGAGGTGGGAGGATTGGACAGCCCGAATGAAGATGGCGTCTTGGGCAGAGGGAGGTGCCTGCGTAGGGGACTTGTGAGAAACTGCTGGGCTGCTCCGTGTGGCTGAAGTTTGGGACGGTGCAGGGGTGCAAGTGAGGGTGGTGGGTGGAATCAGTGCGTGGGGGCCTTGAATGTCAAAGCACGAAGTTTGGATCTGATCTGTAGGAAGTGGGAGCCACCGAAGGTGAGTGACGTCAGAGCAGCACTTCGGGGAAGGCAGCTTGTGCCAGGATGCTGTGGTGGAGGATGGGTCAAGGGATGATGAGCTCATGAGGGGTGATGGCCAAGGAGGGGCGTGGGCAGTCTGGGAATGTCTGCAGCTGGGGGTGAAGTTCAGGCTTTGCTATAGGATAGACAGGTACCACCAGAGGGGTAGGGGGCGGGGGACACAGGGAGAGGGGTGTTAAGTGCGCGCGCGATACACAGCAGGGGTCTGCAGAGGGAGCTGGGCCGAGTGGGGGGCAAGCAGGGGGTGGGCAAGAGATGCTATTTAGGGAAGAAGCCACCCCAGAAGGCCCTGCCTGTGTTCTCTCTTGAAGGAGAGCTATCTGGGCTGGGTGGCAGGAGCCTGGGCCAGCCAGCAGGAGGTTTGGGAACTGATCTTCCCGCCTCTACCCAGGAGTGAAATAGCCAAGTGCTGTCTCTGGTGACAGACAGTTTCTCACACTGAGAGGGGGCAGGTTCGGGGTCCTTTGGGCCCCTCTGAAGTCTCTGCTGTGCAGGGCAGCGCCATCGTCTTCCACCCTGGCGACCCAGCCCTGTTCTCTGAGGACCAGACAGTGGCTTCCTGCCCGTGGTCGAGCAGACCCAGGCCGAGTGTGTCTTTGGGTTAGGAGGATCAGGGCCAGCTGGCATCCCCTGGTCGTGGCTTGGCTTTGGGCCCCTGCCACCCCCCCAAACCGTTATACCCGCTTCCTCTGCCCCACGGGAAGCTCAGAGGGGGCGGTTATGATTTAATCGGGGCCATCAAAGGGCCAGGAGTCTGCTCTCTGGGAGGGAAGGGAGGGAGGGGCCCCCAGCTGCTCCCTCTGAGGGACAGGACAGGGGGTGGGAGGCATCTAATCTCAGCAGGAGCTGCCTTGCCACCCCACCCCACCCCACCCTGCCCCCATGCCTGGATCTGAGGAGACAGTAGGGAAGCCCAGAGGTAAACACAGGCTGCTGGTGGAGACTGGGCTTCCCTCCACCCCAGTCCCCTGATGTGTCCTGTGGTGAGGTGGCCAAGCACAGACCCAGGAGCTCTGCCCCAGGCTCAGCTGCCGGCTCTTTTACTCCTCGCTCTCCCCAGGATTCCTCCATCCTGTGGCTTTCCTGCCAGCAGCTGATTCACCCCCTGCTGACATGGAGAAGCAGCTGAGGGGAGGAAAGAGGCCTGCATTCAGGTTCATGGAGTTTGTTCCAGCTGTGCTGTGAGTGTACTGTGTGACCTTAGATTAACTCCTTCTCCAATGACACATTAAAAAAAAATTCTTATTATTTTAACTTTGCTATAGAGCATGTACTATAGCAATATAGCCAATTCACCAGAGAGAGACAGGGGTGGAGAGGAGCGAGACAGTAAGCCAGCAGGTCCAGGACTTGAACTGCGGTAAGCCATGTGGTAGCCTAGCACCTTAACTACCACACCACCCGATGGCCCAATGCCCTGTTCTTTACTTGGCTCTCCAGGGTTCTGGGCCCTGGGATCTATCCTTTGTAAAGTAGGACATATGTGTGATGCCTCCCCATTGCACACATGCACACATACACACATGCACAATCTAGTCTCATCGCAGTGATTCCCTCAGACTAACAGTACTTGGTCCCACTTCCCTGCTTTTCTTATGCCAGTCCCAGCTGGGAGCACCCACACCTATCTCCTGCCTATGCCCAATTGGGCAGATGGTGTGGCATGGACTTTGGAGTTGGTATCTTGGTTCTGGCACCTCCTAGCTGTGTGACCCTACCTGAACCTCAGTTTCTGAATCTGTAAGTTGGGGATAACAATACTTCCTGGGTGGCATGAAAGGTACAAAAGTACCTGCAAAACGTGTGGCACTTTTATACCCAGCACATGGTAGCTATGCAGTAAATCAGAGCCCTTGCTGTTTTCTGCCTTGGCTAGACTTCCCAGGCTGGGCCAGACTACTTCTCAGGCACCTAGGGATGGTGCCACAGCTCCTACCTCTGTGCCTCTCTGACATCTACGTGTGTGCCCTGAAATGCTGGGTATTTCCAGCTGGGAGGTGCATCCGCCCTTTCCTGGGGTGCTGGGTCTCCCTGACAGTACTCTAAGCTTCCCGAAGGGAATAGGTCTTA